TCTGCGAAATTCATCACATTGGAAAAGCAATACATATATTTCAAAATTATATGTGAACTAACTACATAGTTCTCTCATTTATTTGAATTTTTATTTTCCGTTAGTTTACGCCTCTAATATTATATAGATATTGTCCAAGACCCTTCAATACACATTATAATATGTAAGTTTTTTTTATTATTACAAATGAAGGTTTTTTATGAATTTTCACATAACGACCATAACGATGTTATCAAAATATGAAGATCTCTCACGAAATATAACCATTAAAAACCACTAATCGCGGGATAAAGTTTCTAAATATTACTGAAAAATGTTAAGCTAACCACACATTAAGAACCGAACATATTTTTCGAAATCCTTAATTTATTTTAGTTGATTATAGGTTTAATTTACAATAATCACTCCAACCTATTTATATGAAAGTTTTATTAGTAGTTAATTGTATTTTTATATTTGGACTAAAATAGAGTTATCAAGTTCCTTAAAATCCTGAAAATTTTACGTAAAGTTTTTAAAACAATTATTCTTTTTCTTATTATAACAATTGATAATAATGATAAATTATTTTAGCCTCGATGCGAAATTGAGAAGGTATTGGTTTTAATATGTGTTTTTTTTTTTGTGTGTGTTACAACTTTTTCTCAGCTCACACCGAACCGATTTCTTTCAACGATACGTCAAAAGATCATAAATCGTATCTAGTCGAAGACATTGCGCTCAAAAATTGAAAAAATTTCATTCGTTTCCCGTAAATAGGGGAAACCTCCAAAAAAATGACAAATTTAAAAATCGCTAATTTAAAAAAAATTTTATATAATTTAATTATATAAAAAAATAAATCTGACCCTATAAATGCCCACAGGGGGTATTAAAATGACAACTTTTTCACAAAAAATTAACTTTTTCAACTTAACTATTGAAAGTATTCCGGAAAGTCTGTCACTTTTATATATATCTTAAATTAAAGCTATTTTTGTGTGAAAATTCTAGTTTTTATATTTTACATTTTATACATTAAATGCTATAACTTTTAAAAATGTATGGATCAACACAATTTATTATGGAAAAAAAAAATTCGGACTTTATTTTATCTTCATGGTAAAAATGGCTACCGAATGCTATTTTTGTGTGAAAATTCTCGATTTTATTTTTTACATTTTTAACTTTATAATGCTATAACTTATTAAAAAGTGTATGGATCAACATAATTTTTTAATGAGTAATAATATTTTTCAATAATCCCTTTTTCATTCGACATACTTTATCTCAATCAGGATATTAATAAGGAACTAGCAGATCATGTAACTTTTGTAATAATCCACTATTTCTTTTTAAATTAAACACTATTTAAAGATTTGCATCGAAGCGATTTTTATGATAATGATTTTAATCAATGTCAGATATTGTACTTGATTCAACTATGCCACGTCACCACCGTGCCGTGACCCCCCTGTGCTGGGTTTTTTTAAATTTATGTTGATATATCTTTTTGAAAAATGCATGAATCAATACTATTCATTTATGATAAATATTTTATATATTCCTTTTTCTTTTATTAATGTTGTTATTTTATTAGTACATTTAAAAAACTATTATTTGAAAATTGATTTTATTAATAAATTACTATAATAAAATTTGAAATAACCTGACATTTAAAACACTATATAGAGTGTTCAGTAAGTAAGGAAACGGGTCAATTGTTATAAACAACAATAACAATAGAAACCCGTTTCCTTATTTACTGAACAATCTATATATAACAATCTATATTTATATAAATATATAATTAAAAAACCTGCCCACAGGGAGGTTTCAAAATAGTAACGTTTGTATAAAAAAAAAAAATGATCGTCATTAGTGTCTTTTCGACAAATATTTTAGAATTAATTAAAATTTTTATCTCACTTAGGTGATAGAAGAAATGTTCCCCGGAAGTTATGTACTACAATCCCTCATTTCCTTTTTTATAAACTAGTCAACTATTTATGTGGCTCTCAAGATGGTTTCGAAATAGTAACTTTGGTATAACATTTAAAAAAAAAATATTACGATTTTTTTTAATATGAATTGTTTTACAAACATGTTCCTAGGTTTTTTACAATTTAGTACCTATTCCATAGGCGTATTAAAAGAAGGAAGTTGTAATGATTAATCCCACTTCCTTTAAAACATTTTTTTCTTGAAACTATTTATCGTAGTGATGTTAATTACTGTCAAATTTGAATCTATACTAACCCCTACTGTGTTGGGACCTTTTCTTGCCCAGCCCAACTGTAATAGGTTTTTTCATTTTATGATCTATGGTGAATTATCAACATTTATTGGCGATTCCAAAAAATGAAGTTAATTTTTTTATTAACAAAAATATATATTTATAATAAGAGTTATACATCAAACATCGTATTTTTAAATATAAATAAAATTAACCCTTTACAATCATTATTCTGGGATTTAATTTGATTAATTATTTATTAATAGTATTTCAATTTATATAATAATTATGTATATTATTTCAATATACTATAATTGTATAAGTAAATATCATGATATATTCTTATATTTTATGTATATGTAGTAATTATATTTATTTTGGTAACTCCTCTATAGTTTTGTCATAAGTGATTATAGACCTGCATAAACTCAAATAAATAGTATTTTATTGAAAACTTTGAAAATAAATTTTACTAATTAAATTTTAAACAGATAATAATTTATACAAATTTATGATTTGTTTCAAAAAGTTGTTATTCTTAAATTATAACTGACATTAATTACTACAATATATTTTTCTTGTAGTAGGTTTTAATTTATAACTGTCTCTAAATAATAATTACTATATCTTTTTTGTTTTTTTATTAATATTAAAACACGTTTCTTATTTTAAAAGGAGATACTATCATTTTTTTTCAGTTGTATTAATTTTGATTTCAAGCCGTAAAAAGATCTATATACATAGTTTGCCTCAGAGCAATACGAATAATAAAACAGTTTGTTCTTTAATGGGGTGTATTACTTTTTTAGTCCTTTGATTGTGGTTGTTATAAAACAATTTACTTAATGTAAAAAAAATTACTTACAAACTTAACTTTGTATCTATTTTCTTTTATTGTAAAGGAATACCATTGATTATAGATATTATAATTAATAGTGAAATATCATAAATAAGCTGTAAGAGAGTATGTTAAAAATAAAATTTAATTTATTATTTTAATTTTCATTTTTTAAAGAGTGAGCACCTTTTGTTTATTTTTTATTAAGAAAAAAACACTAATCATATTTTTTTATTGATTTTGTAAAATAAATTAAATTGTAAAATATTTCATTTTACCGAACATCATTAGTTATTAGTAATGTCTTTTAAATTTAAGTAAACAATTGATAGTTCGAAGACAATAAGTTTGTAGTTAGTAATAATATTATGATGAAGAACCCTTTGAAAACAGCAACCGAATAAATGTGAAGTTCTAGAACTAACATTTCGTTACAACACAAGGTATTTAATAATAGGTGTTTGTTCTAAACAATTAGTTTAATATGTCTTAGTGCAAATGTTCATCTTTACAAAAATTTGGCATTATTTCACAAGTAAAGCTTCATATCATATAGTTAGCTAGATATTTTACAAACAATAGTATTAACATATAAACTTAGAATAATTTATGTGTCCAAAAAAATTATTATACTAATTTACCAAATACTTATATTATGTAACAACAACTTTAAATTTTAATTGAGCAAAATTCAATCACATCTGTATGATAAAAATCAATCTTTTCAACAATTAATTTACTTTCATATTAACAAATAACTTTCATATTTTAAAGTAATGTCAGTTCAGCTTGCCTGCCCATTTGGTATTTATCGGATGGATATTACTAAGTCCCTATTTACAGTAATTAAAAATTTTTTTTTATTAAAATTAATAAGGGTCTCATCACTTCAAATTCACTAACACCATCAACGCTGTTTATGATAAGACTTGTCTAATAAAAATTAACTTGATTTTTATTTATAAGAAAAACATTATTATAAGTGAAATATTTATTACTAAAAGTTATATTTAATAAAAATGATATTCTGCATTAATATTTAAAAAAATAGCATATTTATTAGTTTAATTAACGGTAAAAATTTTTTTTACTTCATTTTTTTCACATATAATATAATATTTTGCAATCAAAATCTTTTATTTAAAAGTCACTTATTAACTTTCTTTTCTTAATACTGAGAGTTTAATCAAAAATTATTTAGCACCAAAATATCAATGATGAAATGTTTACATTCTCAAATAAAAATAAAATAATTTTATTTATATTTAAGGGAATTCAATTCAAAACGTATCATTTTTATTTTTTCTAATTTCTGAATTACTTATTCTCTATTACAATATTTTTAAAATAATGTAAAAATGTTTTATTTAAAATAAAGATATTTTTTTTTAATTATCTTGTTAACATTTTTTTTTTTTACTTCATTTTATCTAACTTAAAAAAAATAAAATTTTAACTAAAAATTCTTTTCTGGGAAATATTTTTTGAAAGAAAAAATTATCAGATGAACTAAACTGAATCCGTTTTGAAAACGAAATGTTAATGACTTTCAATTTGCTAATTGAACTCCAGGCAATTAGATAATTTTAAAATAAAACAATTTTTTTATTTAAACCATCATAAAAAAAAATGTAAAGGCTAATAAATTAGAAAATTCATAAGTAATTATAATTGTATTTATAATTATAATAATTTTTTAATTTTGTAATACACATATACGATGAAAATCTAATTCTACATTGACTGATTAAGTCGATATTTAGATAGCTAAATTACTTAAACAATTTTTTTGTAAACAATACTATATAATCAAGTAAGTGCTAATGTTTTTCAAAAATTAAAAAAAATTTATTCTTTTGTTGTCGTGCAAAATATCAAAAAAAAAAATTCCAATTCAAAAATAATATAAAGTGAAAAAATGTTGAATTTTTACAGTTATTAACTCACCAATTTATTAAATTATTCGATGTTTGCCTCAAAAAAAAATTATTTTTACTACCAATATATCATAGCACATTAATGTGTATTTTTTTTTTTATTTTAATCCATGATGTTCAAATGTCATATAATAATACAATCGTCGTATCTAACACCGGCACTGGTCATTTGGGTTTTATCAATGATATTGTATATTTTATTTAATGAAAAGTGTGGAAAACGAAGAAGTATAAAAATAGTTGAGCGCGACGTAGTGCCCACAGCAGAGCGTTCCGGTTCGTACTGAAGATTGTTGGGCGGACGCATTACCGTGGCAGTCTAGGCCGTTTCCACACAGCACAGTCACACGGAGCAGTGCCAATCGCTGTATTTTTTCTGCACTAGTGATACGGCGGTAACGCACTTTGCTTGTTTTCCCGTCTTCTTATGAGCCATTTAAAATGGACAATGCAAATGCGTCCCGGATGTCCCGCGTACAACAATTGTATTGCCCTTGTTATACGCTCAACAACCCACATAACAACATAAAATAGTAAACAAAATTGATCGTTAAGGTTTAACATAATTCGACCTATACAATTCAATAAGAAATTCACATTTGAGCTTTTGGTTTTCACACCGATTACCAACTTTTATTAAAAAACCAAATATTTTCAGTTTATTACACGGGTACCACACGGATATAAAAAAACCAATCAGAAATTCGAAACAACAATATTATCAACACACGCGTAATAAAAATTCACGGAGGAAAACTATTTAAATGTCGACGACGAGGTACCTTTCAATTGTACGTTGAATGTTTGTAATTTTATTTCAAATGTAATACAATTGCTTGGCTACCAAGAAAAGCACGAATGCCATGTATGTATGCAATGATTTAACATTTTTACATAAATCTCAAATAAGAAAATGTTGAATCATCTTAATGTAGATATTAGGTACAACAGAATATACTAAATATATGTACCTTCAAAGCAGAACAGGGAACTTAGAACCAGTGATAAGGTGATACAACCCGTGCACTTGTCTAAAGCCCCCCCCCCCTTTAAAGGTCTTTACAGGCTTAGATGAAAAGTCTATTTTACTGCATAAATAAAAAAGGGCTCCACAATATCTAGCACCGACTCTGCTTATACGGAAACAATTGTCTACTACTTATTTGAAAATTGCCTAAAAACAAAACTGCTGGAAAAACATAATAATAATACAATTATTTAATTTTTATCTTTTTACAGCCCAATTGCATTCGCAGTTTCATCAGCAATTTTTATCATGTAGCTCGATTGCGTCCGTAGTAATAATAAAAAGATGACTTACATGCAAATCAAGTGTCATAATACTAAAAGTACATACGTTTTCACAAAACTTTCAAAATACCACCGCAAGATCATTTAACGAATCAAAACAATAAGAAAATAATTATTATTAACCGGTATAAATTAAGTTTTTTTTAATTATTAAAATATTATATTTAAAGATGCAATGTACTAAAAATAGTTGTACATTTTACATGAAACCCGATAGAAGAGGTAATGTTATTTTAGACAGTCATTTAAATCATAGCCACAAAATGTATGAAAACTTGATACAGCAAGTAATTCAAAATGTGATAAAAAGAAAAGCACAGAAAGATATTTTTGAAAGAACTTTAATACTATAATAAACTTAAAAACATTATCACTGACAGATAAAATAAAACTGATGTAAGTTCACTTGGTAACTAAATGAACTGGCCACATTCTCGTTCAATACTCGTAAAAAGCATTAATTTTTTCGAGACTCATTTGGATTACGAAATAATCTATCACAAAATCTCGGAACATACTCGAGTGATACCTTTTTGCGAACGTACTTGAAACTCAATAGGAATATTTCCTTATTTTCTTGTTTAAACATAAATAAACTACTTTTAATATACCAATTTTATTTGAATGATAATTTACATTTATATCTCTATAAGTAATTAAAACATTAATCAATATGCACTAAAATTTGAAAACTTTATAATCTATTTAAGTTTAAAAAATGTAACTGCAAAAACTTTACAACTCAATTAAACATTTGTGTTCAATAGAATTGTCTATAATAGTTATTAAATATTTACTAGGCAAAATATGCGAATCTTACCGATTTATTAATAGCCTGGCCGATGAAATGAAATACTAGTTTGATATCAGTTTAAAAATGTTATGCCAGAATATGCAAGCTTTGTACATACTTTAATAAAAAAAATAAGCTAAACTAAGTAAAATATATTAAATCCAATCCAACAATGTATAACCTAGTTTCGTAAAGAATTAATAGTGCTATCATTTTTTTTTTTATTTATTTAAGATAATTATTAGAAAGAAAGCACAAAAAGTATGCCATGCAATTTTCAAGGGGTGGTTAGAAATTTTAAAATTTAAACAATTTTTGCCCTACCTATTGTTATTGATATTGGCTCACTGATAACTATAGTATATTTTTTCACAATATATCATCAAATCGAAAATGTTAAATTTTTTATATTCACGTGGAAAAGTAAAATTATAATTCCGTACATAATAATTAGGGTTCTTAACACATCAATTGCTAAAGAACAAATATTTTCCGCCAATAAAAGGAGAAGTTATCAATTATGATTTAAAACACATACAATTGTAAATTATCTTTCATCATCCGAGACATACACTCAATTGTGATAATAAAATTTAATATTAGAAAATCCGAAATACGTTTAACCATTTTCGCACGTAATGGTAATACGAAAAGTATACTTTGGCTAGTCAAATTGGAAAAAACTAATTTTCTTTATATCATGAAATCTAAAAACCTAAATCAAAGTAGTTCTTGCCACTTTCGAATTTCGAGTTAAAATTATGTTAACTTTAGCAAAAGTCAAAATTGAATTTATACACTTTTTGACACGTGTAAAAATATCACACTATGGAAAATAACCAGAATAAAAAATGAAAAGTTTCACTAATATTTTATACTATAACACCCTATACCATTTATTTATATCTTTAATATTTACAATTGAAACTTTTTCAGTTGTTGCAAAGAAGTATTGATAGGACGACTTCACTAGCGAATAAACAGTTAAGAGTATTCATCTTTTAAAGTTTTTTAGTAATATGTATTTTGATGCCACACTCATAATACTAATAAATATTTGTTCTTTTAATATAAACATTTTATAAGACCTAATAATAATAATCACAAACAATAAAAAATAGCATGTAAAGGTTTTTAACAATTTAAAACTGTTATGATATACACAGTATATTATTATTGTTACAATGTACTATTTAAGATTTTAATTAATAAATCAAATGACATGACATGTATTAAAATATAACAATAAGCTACATATATATTTTTTAATGTTTAAAAATATACTAATATAAGTTTGCATAAAAAACATATATCAATTCTATAAAAGAAACAGGAGATAATAATCAATATGTAATAGTAATTTGTTGGACTTAAGATAATAATTTCATAACAAAAAGGAACGTCTATTTATTTCAGAGTTTTTATTGAAAATATCAAGGTAGGAAAATAATAATTTCTCCAAAAATATATAAGGCTTAGAATTAAATTTTATGAATACATAGATTAAGAAAAATCAAGTGATCATCTACAATAAAAAAATATACCAAGTAAATTTCATAAATCAATAGTCAATCGGGGTTAGTTACCAGAGTTATACGTGTCTATGTCATAAGTTAAGTAGGAGTTTCATATATGGCCACCATACTATTCTGGGTAGACACACCAGGTGATTCAATCCTACCTATCGTTGCTAACCGCCAATACTCGTGGCATTATTGATATTAAAGAGTGACAATTGATTAAAGTATATTTAATATTAATAAATAAAGATTACTTTATTTTTCTAACAGTTTTGATCTTTTTTACAAACCCTCGTATTCATACCTTGAGTAATAATATTATTAAAACAACAAAAATATTAACTCACAACTCATAACCCACAAACTATTTTATTTCTTTTTGAGTTGCTACAAAACACAGTAGAAAATAGTGTCATTTCATCAATGTAGTAAAAGATTATTTTATAATTTATATTTAATATGCTAGAACTACATGGTTCGATTATTTTCAATAACAGATCTTGGAACGAAATATTAGTTTTCGTATTAATATTAGTTCTACCTCTATAAATATTTTACATTGGAACATTGTATATTAGAACCATTTTATTATCGAATGGCGAGTTAACTAAATAGAAAAAATTTTGAGAAAGTTTGAGTTTAATTTCTCTTTTTAATATTCTTCTCCAACTGATAGACTAAGTTCTTCTAGTTTCACTAGAATAGTACAAAAAAAAAAACAAACACGAAAACTTCAAACTCGATCAAATTTTTTTTGGTTTGGTCTAACACAAAAGTCTAATTTCACCTATGAGATCAACATTTAAATTTAAATGACCTCTTTTTTCCAAAATTATGGTGCGATGAGAAATAAAAAAGTTCTCAAATAAAAAATCTGATTTTAACATAAAGTAAATACGGGTAATAAGTCCTACTTTGTATTAAGTTTGTATAAGACTTTGCTTGATTAGTCTATACCTAAGGTCTAGCTAGGCCTAATCTAAATGATCTATAAACGTACAATCTACTTGCTTAAGACTACGCCGACCTATTCAATCGCCTTTTTATAAAAAATAAAGTATAAGCAAATTTTCAATCAACCGATTTCAGTTTATTTTTTTTTTGCTTATCGCTTCATAAACTGTAAAAAAGAAAAATCAATGCAAAATATTTACTGAATTAAAAGTTGTTAAAGTTGTCAGAACATGGTGAGACACCTGTATATAAAATTTCAAAATATTAGGAGGCTAAAACCCCCTAATTTTTGGCATATGTTATTGCCTAAATCTATCTCAATGACCTCTAATAAAAAGCAATTACCAGCTATTACTTTTTTAAATTTATTTTTATAAACACACATAATATTACACATTTACTATTGTGTTAGTTAAAAAATTTTCCCGAAACCATAAATAATAAAAAAAAATCATGTTGATTCCCAATAAAAATTTAACATTTTTTTTTGAGATGAAAAGTGTCGAGTATTTTAGTGGCAAGACTGATTACTTATATTCTCCTTGGACAATTTTGATCAATTTCTGTAAATGATATAATAAACTACCATCTGATTAATTTTGATAAAGCTAGGACGTTCAATTTTGATAACGCATAGTAGCTAATATAAATTGAACTTTTGTGTTTCGAATAAGTATTACTTTTTGAAAAGTAACCATGTCTATTATTAATTATACTTATTATGATACTCCTGATGGTCACGATTTAGTAAAAAAATTATTTTATACCAATAAAAAAGTATCTATTATAGGATTTGGCCTAGCAACATCCGAAATTATTCTTGTAAGCAAGCCTAAAGGATATTTGGAAACACTAATAAGGTAATAATACTATTCAATTATAAAGTTAGTTAAATTATTTTATTAAAATACATTTATTCTATTTTATAGATATAACAAGTTAATGACGCCTATGTTTGCTGCAACATCAGCTTTTTGTATTTCAACTTACTGTGCTACTCATATACGAGAAAAAGATGATGTGTTTAACTATGCGATTGGTGGATTTACTGCTGGAGCATTAATGGGTCCTTTTACAAAATATTATTTAGTATCTGTATGGCTTGGAATAGGATGTGGTTTATTTGGAATGGTCTACAAGGATTGTAAAATGAGAAATATTGAACTAATGCCCACATTTCCTGCAGTTCGGCATCAGAAACATGGTGACTTTAGAACTCCCTACCGAAATTGGACTCTGTATGAAGATCGACCCAAAGGATGGGTAGCTGCTGAAGAACGTGCTCAATAAAAATAAAAATTTCTTAATTGAGTAAATAATGTTACAAGTTTTTGAAATGTAAGTAGTTAATCATCAACTAAAAATAATATCTTCTATATAGTATTTTATGTTTTAAAATAAAAATTTATGTTGAAATATAATTAATGAATTTATATTGCATATTCTACAATCCTCAATTTATGAATTTTATCTAGAAGTTAAAAGAATAACTGAAGTTATAGACAAAATATTTTCTAATTATACCTAATGTTGTATAAAAATTATAAATTCATTACCCAATACTAATGACAATTAGCATATCTTTAATGTTGATATACTAATAACAATAATAGTTATGATGTTGTGTACTACAATAATACAGGTGCAATGATTTAGTTAAATTTCCTACAAACAACTTAATGACTTCTTTACTCATTTATCTTTGGCTCAAAAAATCTTAGTATAGCAGTATCTTTAAAATGTTTGTGTAATATCTGACTCTTATTATAAAATTTGGTAAACAAAAAAAATCTGATTATTCTAGGAGGAAATAACCTAAAAAAAATATCTTAAAAGTAAAAAGAACTAGCTAAAAAAAGACCAACAGGCTCAATAACTATCAACTAAACATTTTGTGTATACTTATTTACTATAAAATTGTTTAATAATAATAAGAATGGATTTTATTTTATCTAATAAATAATAAAGAAAAAATATTATATAAAGACTATGTGTATATTTTATATTACAAATTAAAAAATATATATCAAGTAGCATTGTATAAAATATGATTCTGGTTTTCTAATTTTTCTTGCCAAATTAACCTAATACCATAGGTATTAGTTCATAAAACTCAACAGTACGTTGCTGTGGACTACACACAGTTACCAAGGTTATATAAATGGCGAACAGTGTAGAAAAAAAATAAAGCTTTTGGGTATTCTGTTTTATTTTTTTTTAAATAATATTTAGTGTATAAGATACTTAGATATTTAGTTAATTATATAAAAATGGTTTCCTGTACTAATATTAATACACAATACACTATGCATAATACTTTATATTATTTTTTATACCCCGAAATATAAAGCGAAAATTTCAAATTTGAGTGCTAACTTATAACATACTTTACAGTTAAATTAGAAACAAACAAACAAACAAACAAAGCTGATATTTATGATCCTTCATTATTACGGAACAAATATTAATTAATTAAAAAAAAATATTCTGAGAATTAATTTATTTTATTTTTTTAGATAAATGTTTTGTATATAATATTTTTTCATACCTTCTACTGTATTAGACTATAAAAAATTTATACAATTTTATTTTTTGAAATGGCAACATGCATATTTAACTAGATTCTTTAAAAGATAATAATCTATAAAAATTACTGTTCTATAATAACTTTGGACCAGTATTTCGGAAGTTATTAACATTTTATAGTAATGTATGGAATTGAAATTCAGGTGTTGATAATTTTATCATTAGTTATTTCCTGCCCATACTCTTCCTCACACCAAGGTATAAAAATGTTAATAACTTCTTAAATACTAGTTCAATAGTTATTAACCTGACATTTTATTAGATAAAAGTTTATTGTTATTAGATAAAAATAAAGTTGTATGTATACCTTATAATCTATAAGGGATGAACATAAAAATTACTCCATAATTGATAAATTGAAAAAAAGCGTGTACTATAAAAAACCCAACTAAAAAATTCTAAATATTATTTTCATTTTTTAATTTATTAAGTGGTTTATGATTAATGAGTCACCCTTTAAATTGGGTGCCTCATATATAAATAAGCTATTTCTTGTATTAGAGAGACAGAAAAAATATACTTAAGAAAAATAATGAAATAATTAATACTTTTTTCTCACTTTTTTTATTTACATACAAATTTTTATTAGCAATAGATATTTAAAATTTAACATTCTGAAGAGTTAAGCATACAAAAGCATCCTTTATTTTATCATGCATTACTAGATTTCTTCTAAAATAATAATAATTCTGAGATTTTTTTTTTTTACTTATTTAAGTAGTATTTATTTCTCAATTTATAAGTGTTTCAATACTTTTTAGTTTCACCCTTTATCTCTTATATGGGTACCAACTTCTTTTTATGTTAAATAATAAATCTCTAATATAATAATCAAATAAAACAGCGTAAATGTTTGTGATTTTACGGACGTATGTAAAATGTATTCACTAACTGATTAATACGCCAGTCTTGAAAATACCATTATATATAGGTAATATCTATTAAAAATTGTATTCAATATAAAAAAAAATTATTTAATATATCAATATATAGAAGTATTATTTTTTTAATGTTAAAAAATTCACTTAACATATGATTAAAATCATTTAATTAATATTATTTACAAAGTGTATTATGCTTTAAATAGTGACTAATTAAAAATAAATATAACTTCAAAAGAGCATTATACAAAAATTTAACATTTATAATGTTTGATATTTAAATAGGTAAATAAGTACTGAATGTATAAAATATAATTAATAATTTTTGGTAAATAATAGTCAATAAATTTTTTTTTCAGGAATACATATCTAATTAATAAAAACGATATATTTTAAACTTCAATATAACAACTTAAAATTTTATTTTTTATAGAAAGTAAACTTCTATAAATTTTTGTTGTTTAAAAATTTAAAAAAGAAATGTTATTAGGAACTAATGTAAAATAAATTTAACACACAATGGAGTACAAAGTTTTACTTAAAATCATGAATTAATGAATAAAACCTCTAAAAAATACATAAAATAATATGTATCTAACTTGAATAACTCCTCCGAATAAAAATAATTCTAGAATTGAGAAATTAAGTATAATAGTAATAAAGAACTAAGATCCATTAAAAACTCATTCTTCGAAGAAAATATTTCAAATCAGATTTATCTTAAAAGTATTTATTAGTTTTAAAGTAATAATCCTCGTAAAATTTCGGAAACAATCAATCATTACAAAAAAGTATTTTTTAAATTAAAAGTTTTAGTTTAATAAATAATAAAAAATTATCAAGAAATTTTACAAGTAATATAATACAAAATTCACAAAGTATAATATGTTTAAGATTGTTAATTAGACGAACTGATCGCGTAATGCAGTTAATCTTGGTTCAATAGGCGCATAGAAAACAATTAATGCCAAAATTGTAGTTATCAAAACAATGAATAAAACATGAATGAACAACCAAAATTTTCTGAATCCAGAATGCTAAAAAAGTATTAATTAATTACAATATAAATTTAGATTACAGTTTAAATTTATTTGGTGTATAAAAACTTACTGGATTATCTTTTTGCTGTTCGTAATTCATTGAATTTCTTCCATTATGTAGATCTTTCATAGGGAATGTATTTACTCGCATGCTACCAGATTTTTCACTTAAACAACCAGATATCTAAATGTGAACAACAAATATACTTGAAAATTATTTTTACTAAACTGTGCCGTGTTTTTTATAAATTGATTACGTACCGATAAAATTAAATGTATAATGACATAAAATCCTACATAAACCACTAAAATCCAATCTACCCAAGCTGGTAGTTCTGCTTTACTCAACGTAACGGCGAAAAATATTGTTAGAACTGGAAAAGAAAATAAATAAAGTTTATTGAAATTTTACCAATCGTCAATTGTTATTTTTTATTTATAAATATTAAATAACTTACTTGCAATGATATGTGCAGCATTTCCAACTAACCAATGGATCCAATTGAAAATTGGCCTTTTTGGTGAATCTGGGTGTGGCCTAAATGCGGCAAATATAGGTTGGAAAAATGCTAGTACGGTAGTTGTTACACCTAAAATAGCATGTGTTTGACTAGGGCCTGATACCCATTCACCGAGTTCAAGAAATATGCAAGCTGAACCAGATAATGATAAAATCCATGTAAACATCATCAACAAGCGATGCCACTATTCATTAAAATAAACAAAATATGTTTATAATTATGATGTTCTTGATGATTTTCTTTGAAATGCAATTATCTTACCCCAAACCATAAATCTTTGCCACAGCACGACGATTCAACCCACGTTTGTTTATAATATCTAGCGACAACAATTCCAATACTAGCTGCTCCAATCCAAGCAACAACCATAAAAGTTCCATGCAACCTTAACAAAATTTTGGACGATGGTTTTAAAGATTTGATTTCTGATAATGAACTGGCTTCTGCTGTTGAAGTATAAGCTAAATCGTGAAAACCTACGCTTCGCTCTAAAATCAAAAAAATAAAATGGGTGTTCTCCAAAATATAAAACATTTTTAAACCATATTTCCTTTTTACCTTTTAAAGATGTACCAGCGGCAAGTAATAAGTTGTATTTATTTTGAATGAGATCAAATTTAACTCCTTCTATAGTTGTGACTGCTTCATGAAAAACACTGCAATAAATAGTACCATCTACATACGATGCATTTAGTAAAGTAATTTCATTTTGATTCTAAAAGGATTAAAATTTGAGCAAATTATTTTTAATTTGAGTCTTGAATAAAAAATAATTATATTGAGTTAAGACTAACCGGCACACGTTTATTGTTTTTTTGATTTTGAATATTCCAAGATCTATAAGCTTTAATTTGATTGGATCCTGTATTTTCATGAACACATTCTATAACACTATCACCTCCCTGTATAAAATAAAATTATTTTAGTCTTTTTATTCTTAGCAAAGTATATTTTATATTAAGTAATAAATTTTTTTAAGGTTGGATTTTTAGTAGAATTTAAATTTACTGCCAATTTCGTTCGTAACCTCAGTTTATTTGCATAAATTTTCCTATTACTGATCATTTTACTAAGGGTTGAATTAAACATTTCTCCAATTATTTTACACAGTCTTTAATATTTTATTATTTTTCTGTTTTATTTACTATCAAATTTCGTGTTAAAATTTATTTATATATATATACATTGTATTTATGTATATATGTAATTTATCCTCACTAAGTTTGTTTTTATTTTAAATCAAAACTTTTTTTAATTAATTATTTAACACTTTTTACTTATATACATGCTCTCTTATAGTTTATACATTTGTATAAAATTATAAATTGTAATAACTTAATGTAATACTTTGTTACTTAAAAGATTTACCATTTTTTGATCATCTGAAAGTCCGACCGCTACATACGCAGCATTTTTAGCTTTCATTTCAAATATATATCTAATTCCATCCACCTTTACGGCCGTTACAGCAACACAATCTTGAGTTGTCAAACATCCTTCTGGTAATCCAAAGCAATTTTTAGTTTCACCACATTCGTTGTAAAAAGGATCGAGTACACGGGCGGCTTTTAATTGACTGAGTCTTTTTTTATCAGGACTACTTGAAAAAGCAACATCATGGTAACCAACGCTAAAAGCTGTAAAATGTAAAGTACACGTTAAATATGCCAAAAATATGTTAAAAATTGCAATTGCTTTACGTTTTAATGAGGACCCTGAAGCTAACAACACAAAGTATTCTTCCCTGTCTAAATCATATGTTCTATCTTCGATTTTTATAAGAGAATCCAAAGAAACTTTGCAATAAATTGCACCATCTACTATAGCAGCACTGTCTAAATTAACACCAAACAGATCATCTACCCTTTTGTTTTGTTTTCGAAAAGGAACATTCCACGATTTATATGCACTAACGCTGCTACCACGGCCACTTTCTTCATGAACACATTCAATAACACCATCACCACCCTAATAAAATTCAAATAACTAAAACATTTTTTGTTCCAACAATTAAAGTTATGTCTAAAATGTAAATGACATTTAACAAAGCGATATAAAAAATTGAAAAGAATTAAAATCAAGGCGCATAAAATTTAAAAATTTTGATGCCTTTAAATTTTAAGTTTACCACATCATTAATTGATGTGGTAAATTGATTTCTTAAATCCGTTTTAATTAAACGACATAATAAATTCGGAGATTATAATATATTAAAAAAATAAAATTTTGATTACTTTATTAGTAAAAATTATTAATTTAAAATTATGAATTCTAAAAAATTTCAATTAAATTATTTTTTAAACTTTTTTGTAGGATACCGATATTTTATAAGTATGCTTTGTTTATTTTCAACGTTTACATAGAATGAATAAAAAGGTTTTGATAATGTTTTAATTTAACAGAATCTGAAATATAACAATATAATATTATTACACTCGTATTATATAATTAGAGACAGAAACCATAATATAACATAAACAAATTTCTATCGTTATCTTAAAAATAGTTTAAAATTCGAATTTCATTTTTACTATTTTTTGGATAAATCCATCTCAACTTGCTTATAAAATTCTATCTTTTATAACTAACAGTATATTAATATAGTGTTCATTGCAAAAGTTCCGTCAACGTTGTAGGAACTTATAAATTAATGTATAATTCGCAAAGTGTTTTAAATATATTACCATTTTGTTATCATCAGATAAACCAAAAGCTACATATTTGCTATCGTGAGCTAACATTTCAAATTGATATCTTCCACTAAAATGCGTTAAAGCAACAACAGCTCGGCAATTGGAGGCTTGTATACATCCTGGAGGTGATCCAACACAATTTTTACTCCTTCCACATTCATTGTAAATATTGGATTCTATTTCTTTAACACCCTAAACATTTTTTACAACAATTGATTATCAGCAACATTTCAACCACCAAATTCAAAAATATTATACTTGTTCTGCTCTGGCTGTTTGTGGATTTTGATTATTTAATGATGGTGCATCCCTAGTTCCTCTTACTTGAACAGGACTTGAAATTATACCAGTCCAGAATGTTGCATAATCAAAAACGACCGTGGCCCTATTTTTTCAATAAAATAAATGAGTTGATTTTTAACGAGTTTAAAAATGAAATAGTTATTTTATTAATATCTCGTCACTTGAAAAACTTACACAAACTGTACTTGTCCGTCGAAATTACTTGGTGCTTCCCAATCAAACTCTACCGACTTCTTCTTTGTGTTGCTACCGTGTGTCACTCCAGATCCCTAAAACGATACCATACAAATATTGAGACTTAAGTTCAATTAAATTATGAAATATATTACTAAGTGTGTTTAGAACTCACTGTTATTTCATTGCAGTCTAATGTTTGTGAATCTTGTGGCACTTGGACAAAAGATCCGACCGCATTATCTCCGGCACTAGGAACACGAGCTTGTATCAGGAACCCAGTAAAATAATCATTAGCTTTTGGTGCAGTAAGAGTCACTCTAACCCTTCCAGAAGTGACATCAGATGGTAAAATTCGATAAGGAGCCGGAGTAGTTTGCGCTGCCTCTCCATGTCCGGGCACCATTGTCCGACATGTTAACACAGGGGCTCCAGTCTCATATCCGTTCACATAAAGAAGGCCACCAAGTGAAATCAAAATAGATGTATAAAAATACAGCTTCATGATAAGTTAACTGAAAACTACCTACCAAATAAAGAGATAAAAATTAGCAATTTTATATACGATATACATGAAATTTCATTTTCAAACACTATGATAATTATAAATGTACTTATACAAATTATATTCCAATACACGCTAAGACTTAGACACTTATTCAAATAATTTTATAATAATAATTGTAATATTTTTCAAATACACAACAAAAATACGTAAGCGTTAGTATACACCAGTTTTAAAAATCATTTGTGACTGATTTTAGACTAATTACTATAGTTGTATACAGCTATTATTCTGAATCATATTATTTCGGCGATAGGATTTAATTATTTATTTGCTTAAAATAACATATTTTTACGTTGAAAACGTTACGATTTGAAACATTAAATATTTACATCGAAAAATAGATTATGATACGTTCAAAAAATCCAAGATAAAAATGAGTCACAAAAATTTCAATGTCAAACAATATGCATGTTTTATTAAAAATATCCTTATTTAACTTACAATGAAAAGCATACAACCGTGGACATAGAAATTAATTCTATACCCCCTCCATACACAAAACACTAAAATTGCGTACCATCTACAATGATTAATATTTATGGATACTTACTGATACCAATAAATTTTAAAGTAATTAAACAGTATGATAGATAAATATAACAATAATTAAGAAGACAGTAACTTCTATAATCTTTATAAATGTATAATAACAGTGTGTGCTATTTTTACACTAGAAAAATACCCTATAAAATTACAGATTTATTACTAATTTACAGCCACCAATTCATTTTCGTTAATTAAACAAGATATTTTATTGTAGTAAAAAACATAACATATTTTTTATAACTTTTTATAGTCAATTTTTTTTTTTTAGTAGAGGATCATCTAAATTTTATAATTACATTGAATATACTGTAAAAAAGTAATATTTTTTTAAATAAATTTTTCAAAGTTATTTTTGTACTCGTAATGAATTCTACAGTGTTAGACTTTATCTAAGTACAACGTTTCAAATAAAAAGGTATATAAATCACAAGATTCAAAAGCTTTTGTCTGTTCACCAAGTGGCAACCAAGGATATGGATCATAATTTCAGTTCCGTTCAATTATAAGAAGTCAAATACTAGATATATAAATAAAGAAAAACAAAATAATTTATTTCTTAGAAAATAACAAATAATATACTACGGAGTTTATAATTTGTTTTTTTGCTTTTAGAAACTTACTTCACTGATTTATACTTAAAGGAAGAGTTATTTGATTTAGTTGGAAGTTTAAAATTTACCCTAACCAATCGACAAAGAGTGTCACATTACCTGGAAATTCCTTACTCTTCTATTGGTATATAATTATTTAAAAACTTTATAATAAAATAAATGCATAAATATTAATTTAAATACTGATTTGGAAATCAAATGTCAGTATTTTTATATCAAAAAATATTAAGTTAATATATATATATATATATTAATAAAGTAGTATTAGTCAATTTACGAACAAGGTGGGAATAAATAAAAATAAGGTTATCCAACGCATCCAGCGCATCTAATGTCATTTTATATTTCCTAGTCACGTCGAAAAATATAACTGTTTAACAATTATTTATTCCTGGTTAATAAAAATTATGTCAATAAGTCGCGAGTGACAATGCATACCTTATTGAAAACTTAAATATTAAATTCATTAAACCTCATAAAATAAAAATTTAAGGAGCATTTCCAACACTAGATTCAAAAAATAAAATAAAACAAACAATCGAACATAAATAAAAATATAGTAATATCGATCAGCTCGTTACTAAATTTGATGTACTTTTATGTACTACATAGTTTTAAAAAATACTATACAGAGTGATTCATTATGGATAAGATATTAATTTTTTTTAATGCTATTAAAAATTTTAATTGGCTGATATTATGAAGGATATATTGCTTATCCACCCCCTCTCAGTACGCAAATGATTATAGAATATAAGAGTCAATATATAATTTATAGAGTTATAAGAATTCATTGAAACACAATTCTTTAATAATAATCTTATAAATTTGAGGATTTTAAACCACTTTTGTTAACACATATTGTAAAACCAATTATAGTCAAGTAAATTATATTATGATTTACTTAATAGTTGGTTTCATGTGTTAACGTTAACAAAGTGGTTTAAAATCTTCAAATCAAGTTTCTACGTTTATTATGAAAGAATTGCTTTTCATGGATTCTTATAACCCTATCATTAAAGTATTAACTGAAACTCGTTCAAAGCTTTAATTATTTTTCGAACAACTAAATTTTACTTAGTTTTATTGTTGCTTTTTGAAAAATACTTATATGATAAATATTTAATTTTATATAACCACGCTAAACAAAACATGCATGTATAATTAATTACTCGAATACAACATATACATAGTGCTAATTATAAATCCTTTAAAAATTAAAACGATCTTCTTAACATAGAGAAAAAATTTAAATGTGTATATTAATATTAAGATATAATTGACAGAGAAGTTGCTATTATTTAGATCCCAAATTTATTCTATATTTGCCTATGGTACCACTAAAAGTTTTATAGGTTTTAAATTTTTTTTTTTTTATTATGCAGTGACTCAACTTTAGGATTTTATACCCTAAAACTAAAATATTATCGTAAAAATATCGTACAATATATTATTATCCGTTTACCGTACATTAGCATACAGTAAATTGTATTCAATGTAGACAATTTATACAATATAATGTAAATGTTCATATTATTACAAATATTTCGTATTAATAAACCTACAGACAGACAAAATTGTCAGACCGCGACTTTTTAACCAAACATATTAAGTACCTTGAATAGTCATTTTAATTGAATAAATTCCTCTAACATGACAATTCATATTATTGAACTTTAAGGACAATATTAGTGCCAAAGATATTTTCTAGAATTCTAGAATAATTTTAAGCAATATTAAGATGCATTAAAACGTTTGTCCCGATATAATTTACTTGGAGCTATTTCAAGTTTATATGTACTTCAGATCCGGAACAATGTCGCACATAATTTAAAGTAAATGTTTCGATCCGGCGTTACATATTGGAAGAGAACGGATATCATTCTGTTTTAAGTTTCAAATAAGCACTTACATTTTACAAACTAGTGTAAACATTTTAATTAACCTAAATAAAATTTTAGGAAATAGGTGTTGAATATTACCTATTATCACGGATATTGAAGTATAAATTTTCAATTAGAGTACACAGTTATAATTGCATAATTATATAGAGTAAAACTTTCAAATATTATAGAATTATCCATTGTATAATCATAGATATTACACTTGAATAATAATTATTCCGATAAATACTACGACATGGTAATTGAAGGTAAACAATAGGTCATTGAAAATGAAAAAACATTGGGAAATTTTGTATAATTATTTTCTAAAGGATATTGCGGCTCATTTATTTAACATAAAATCATTTCTACAACATATCTTGTTAATAATAATGATATTTACTATTAAAACAACATAAAGTATACTCTTATTGTTTATGATCCACATTATAAGTTTTTGGAGTTTTATTGATGATTATTCTTTACTTAAAAGTATTATGAGGATTAAGGAAACTCATTATTTAAAATCTAGCAAAACTAACCGATTATTAATTATTTTTGACTAATTACTAATACTAAGGTAAGTATGGGTAATAAGGCCTAGCTTTGTTTGTATAAGGTCTATTAGCTGCACCTACCTTACTAGAGATATTTTTATATTTTAATAGTAAGTTATAATAATAAGTTATAATTCAACTAACACCTACATACTATTACAATTGTACAATTTATTTATACCATAACGAACTTAAGAACTTATAATATATAAATATATAATGTATAAATACAAAGAATTACAACATCAAGATGAATCTTAAGAATATGACACATCAAAACCAAAGAGAACAATAACAAACCATAATAATTTCTCTTAGTAAACTAACAGAAATCACGTGAAAATAATTCGTTTGAACTTAAAATACAATTGGAAAAGGACATAAAAAAAATTAGTAAAATTATAAGTGACCAAAATCCCGGAAGTCGGTACGTGTGTACATAGTGTCTTTAAAAATCCGTACCACGCCCGCCACGTCACTATACCCAAAATACACACGTCTGGATATTTGATAAGCACATGCTTTTCAAATACAAACATTCCGGTCTAGAGCCGACCTTGAATATTTCTAGAAAAATACTATAACGCGTAGGTGAGCGATACAAACTAATTACTTATTAGAGCAAGATAACGACCTTGTCTACATAATCATTTAGCTTCCGGTATTCTACTATAATAATATGTATCTGTTCTATTTGTGTTCCCTCAGTTTAAGTAACTTACACGAATTATTTACTGTCGGTAACCAGTAGGTTAACTGTGTACTATAACTCTGCGAATAGCTAGTAAAGTCGTCGTGACTAATCAAATCGAACCCATAACACTTAACCACACAAGACACTGTACTTGTGACTGTCGCTGTTCACTTACATGGAGTAGATACCAATGACTACTAGCTGTTATTAAGTTCAACTGTCGTCATGTATCTTTTAGTGCGTTTTTGTGATGAATAATATATTTCATCGTCAAATTAAAATCATGGGACAAACGTGACGGTAATGTTAAGTTGCAGAAATATTTTTCAATTTCCTGAAACTAGCAAGGTTATAAAATCTCCATACGCAAATATTTGCACGCTTTCAACTATAACAATAGTCCTAAGGCATAAAAAATTCGATCGTTATAAACAGAAATGTTATTATATGATTAAGATCGGGTTCTAAATTAGGATTTCCTCAGGGTCAAAGTCCGCCCCGAGAAAAAACTAAGTTCAATAACAATGATAAATGACAAGTTGTCAACGCCTTAGTCTTATCCGTCAACTTAGTGCTTTTATAACGCACAGCTCGCGAAGTACAGGAGATTTGATGTTAGGATTAAGTTGAAGAAAAACGAAACCGAGGATGTTGTAATAGCGATTAA